GTATTTAACAATTCTCATAAGACTGTAGCGACGCTAAAATGACATAAAAGAACGTCGAGACACGTGAACTTAATTTTGGGTCGTAGACTGCGGATCTCTACACCATTTTTCTAGATCAGGTCATTTTCCAAAGGTATTTTAATTTTAAGATTGTATTGCGAATAAAAAAATTCAAACTTTAACATGGAAAATGACGCGCATACGCCATGTTCGACTACGTACAAGTACGGCAGTGCACGATATGGCATATGAGTAACATGATTCCTTCCCCTATTTCATACAAAAAAATTATTGCATATTTTCATTTATTTTCTATTATTGTTTATTTATTCATCGATTTTCATCGTTAGGAGCTGTATTTTTTTGCAAAAGAATAGGCTGTTATTTTTCCCTGTTAAAATTTGAGTTTTTTTCATAAAAATGAAAATATCTTGGGAAAATGACCTGATCTAGAAAAGCGGTATACAGATCCGTAATCTACGATACAATCCTAAGTTCACGTTATTCGGTGTTTTTTTTTTTTGTATAATTTCAAAACATAAGATTTTCCCTACAAAGTAGATAATTTATTTTACATAAACAAAACAAAATATTAATTCAAAATTTAGTTTTTACTCTGCTTTTTCGAACAATTTACTCCTGAAACGATTTACAGTAATCCGAACGCTGCCTCTAATACATACTTTATACGCTCACAGGAAAACGGAAAACGGTAAGACATTAGGCCTGTCCGCTCAACTCACGCATTGGATCTGTACAGCAGCCATTTTTCCAACAGTGCTCTACGTTTTAATGGTATGGTAACCTGTTATATAAAAAAAAGTCATGCATACATAGGTATATACATCAAACGGTTGGGGCGAGCAAAGGCGCTATTTACAGAGGATACAAAGGTTTTAACGGGATTTAGTGAGCTGAAATGATAAACAAACCCGGGGTAAGAACACCACTGAGAAGCACGCCTGATATCTACTCTTCCCTCAGCTACCTAAGAACTGAATTAGACCATATGCATGAAACATCGAAGGCGCAAAACTGTGGAAAGCGTTAACACCTTGTAGGACAGCTGAGATCATGTTTCGCTCTTACAACGCAAAAGTCATCAACTATATTCCAGTACTTCAAAGGCTTGATTTCATGATAGTATTTAGGTGGGATTCGTGCGGGACATTATCTCACTGTCTGACCATCGTAAGCGTTCACTAAAACTGACACCGAGTGAAGAACTTATCTTGTGTCAATGTCAAGATTTCCGTAGATCGAAATTGCAAATGCAAGAAGTAGCAAATTGCTTCTTCTTCTTCTTATTTGGCGCTCGAAAAAATGCATTGTGACTAAAGTTTAATCATAGGCACAAATTTCGTTTAATAAAATTTATTTAGAGTCTGGGAAAAATATTTTTAAATTTGATGTGAAAAACTGAAAGAACATTTCCAACTACCCAATATTTAAATTTTTTTTAGAAAAAGTTAAACAAATTAATTTCTGTTATTATCGTAATTATTATCACTTGTATTTTTTGTGTTATTTTTTATCTATTTTAATTTTTATTTTTCTTTTCTACTCATTATTTAACTGTATGATTCAGGCCATAATATATAATTGTAAACCTAATGCTACTCATAAGTTTTATAACTTTTGTATTAGGATCACCATATCAAATAAATCAAATCAAATCAAATTCCACACATACTTGGAGCATTAGGTACTGTCTTCCTCCTCACACACTAGAACTGAAAATACTCTGTACCATTTTGTTTGTAAATAAACAAAATGTGTTAGTAACTCTATCAAAGTGTCAGAATTTCGGCGCTTTGTTTCTTCTCACAAGCCACTGTGTTGTTTTCGCATGTGCGTGATTAATTCCAAATTTTGTTGCAAAGTTTGTGTAATTACTGTGAAAAACTTACAAATATTTAATCAGCTCTGCGCTTTGCATATTCGTCTTTAGAATTTATAAAGGTTTTTGCCTTAAAGTTTTTTTAATTTATTTTCGTTAACTTTCATTTCCTAACACATATTCCGAAGGCAAATTTAGTCAATATAAATAAGCAGATTACTGAAACTTTGCATGGTTTTCAGACTGAACTTGCTATATTAGAAGCTTCTACTTTAATTAAGTATTTTAGTTTTAGAAAGCAAGTAAAAAAATAAAGTCATTCTTCTATATGGATCAATGAAAGAATTTTGGTCCAAACTTTTATTTTATCTATAACGAAGTTCTGCCAAAGAAAAAAAAATTAGTGAAGGGGAAGTGTCGATACCAAAAGTACTCAAAATTCGATTCTCAAAAGGATCGACAGTACCCGATTTCTTAAATTATCCATACTTAGTACTGCAAACTACTCAGTACTCCCAAAAGAACTCGAAAGTACTCAAAACTTTAGTACTCGAGTACTCGAAAGTACTCAATACTCAATAATATATTCAGGATATATTCACAGTACTCAGTATTAAGTGTCGAATAGATAATTAAAAGTACTGAGTTCTATTTACATTTACCGGTATTCAGAAATGCATGCTCTAAATTTCAAGCTTCAATAATTTTCAAACACAATACTTGCACATACTTGCACTGCTTTTGAGATTTCTACACTTCGCATAATTTTACCTACATGTGTATATTTAAAGAAAGTAATCAGTACTCTCAAAACTACCCCATCCTTAAAAGTATCGATTCCAAAGAACACGATCGCTGGCCTAAAAGTTAAAGTTAGTAAATTTATATACCTTTCATTTGATATATACAACCTTTTTTATTTTATCAAACTCGTTATGTGGAGGTATCTCGAAAACTTCATGTCAGACAAAAAAATTTGAATTTTCGAACTCAGCGGCTGATTTTACATAGCAATTGGATGGTTTAGTTCTTGAGTGAAAAAAAAAATAATTTATTATTTGTAAACCAGTGTAGTCAGTATTTCTTAATCAAAAGTAAAAACTATTTAAGTTTTTTTACAGCATGATGACTTTTTGTTAACTTAACGAATGAAAATGTACCATCTCGCATTCATTCTGAGAATGAATCCGCCGTTTTATTTGCATAACGCCATTTTCTTTATCCAGCAATTAATTAAGTCAGCATATTAATTAATATATGAACCACAAATGTGCAATCATGCAGCCGCACATTTTTTTTATTTTTTCATAAAATTTTAAACGAAGCCATGGCACTAATTTGTTCAGTCGCTCGTAAAAGCACTTGCATATTTTCAGAAAACCTTCGCAGTTCGAATATAATAAATTATGAAATGCGGCAAAAAGCATAAACTATGGCTCCACAAAACAAATAATGACCAATTAATATCGGGTTAATGAAACAAAATTTATTACAATTCAAGGAGTCCTTATTTTTGCATCAATGACTGATTGGGTAGTTAATACAGGCAGCAGCGCAGGTAGTGGAAAACCGCTATTTCGTGGTCGTGTGAAAGCAATAGTAAACTCCAACATTGCGTACTAAAAGCGATAATCAAAGTAACACTTGAAAGATGGAATTGCAATTAACCACAGGACATTTAGTAGAATAAAATCAAAAATGCTCGAAACTTGGCGCCGCCAATTAATGACCTACAATTATGCGATAAAATGGAAAATCGCACAAAATACAAGCGTTTGAATGACAACACTGGAACAAGGCGAGTCGAGTCGAGTCGGGTCGATCGTCGCTAAGGCAACCACCAAAATCGCCCAATTTAACTTTGAAAACTTACTCACAAACCTATAAGGATTATCGAAAGAGGGTGATGGGTGGTTGGAAAATTCACGCTCTCTGCTGATTTGCTTTTGATATTCCCTTTGGGAGCATTGCGCCTTTAATATGGATTTAATGCGAGATTGATTTACCGCGAATAATTGTTTCATTAATTTAATTGATGTGTCTGTGTTTGTCACTATGCATACTCAAATGCAGCGGAAAGTAGAGGAGGAAAAGCTGCATGGCTGGGTTTAAGGCATGCTGGGAGCCAGTGTTGCCAGGGCGTTGACGTGAGAAATCGTAAGTCCTAATTACTTCAAAGTAAAATTTAGTTTTTTACGAAAGTTTGTGGAATTTTTAACCGACTTAAAAAAATGGAGAAAGTTATCAAATCGTCGGAATATCTGGAATATTTGGACCACGTTAACCGATTTCTTGAATTCTTTTTTTAAGGAAAGGTGCTACTTCAGAGGTGGTCCCATACTAATTTGGTTTAGATACAATTATTGGATTATGAAGAAACTAACGGAATTCCTAAGTTTTTATATGTATGAGAATTGGAGTTGATTTTGTTTTTTGCTTAAAAATTACATGTTTTTTAAATATTGCACAAAGTCTGAAATATAGAGTTATAGGGTTTTCGTTAAAGAAACAAAAAATCAAACAACAAAAAAAGTGTTACAGTGAGATTGCCAAAAATCAACGCGATTTTTTAGCAACTTCAAACCTACAATTTGTTGTAAAAAATTTAATGGGCTGCATACCTCCGGAGTTTTGCACAAAGTTAAGATATTTTATTTTTATGTTTTTTGTTGCAGTATGAACTATATTTTTACAAAAAAAATACGAAAAGAAATTAGAACAAAAAACATTACATACCTTGCGAAAAATTCTCTGTTCCAATACTATTGTTCGTCACTCTATGTATGATCCGAGGCTCCATTCCTCGTGCAGCAGAATTTTTTTATTTTATTTTTTATTTATTTTTTTATTGTATGTTTTGTTTAAAAAAGGGTATACATCGTTACCTTGATTCACAAAGGCCCTAACCAACACTATATACTTTTTTTAATTTATTTGTGATATTTTTTTCCTTTACTAATTCAATTTGCTTTTAATTTTTAGATATTATTGTTTTAACAAAAATGTTTTTTATGCCATTTAATTTTTAGAAACGTCTTTTTGTTTATTTTTCATTTGCTTCTCTTTAAATTTTTTATTTTAAAAAGTTGCCAGAATTGTCCTGTTAATTTGGGTTAAAAATGTTTACGTTTAGGGGTTAAAAGCGCAATAATTATTCTAAAAAAATTAAAAAATATGTAAAATCTGCATTAAAAATTCGCACCAATTTAGAAAAACAGGAATAATATTTTATTATGTACTAACGATGTTTTTCCAAACTGGTGGAACGTGACGCTCGTATGACAAAATGTTAAAAAATAAAATAAATATTTAGTCAAAATTTTAAAAAGGTTTTTCATAGAAATTAAATGTTCCCTTATTCAGTAAAAAAAATATTACAAGTATTGGTAGGAGCGATGTAAAGATATTAGTAAACATACGCGCTAGCGTGACGTTACGGAAAACAGAAGTGGATTTTGACTCGGGTTATAAAATTGCCAAACTTTGCGAATTGGGCAAGACTATTTGTATAAAAGTTTTTGTAGTTATATTTGAAATGTTTAAGGTTAATTTTACAAGCGCCACCAGCGTTTCCATTTTTTGCAAATCAATTTCTTATTACGTTTCAACTAAACATGCCAAATATGAAACAAATCAGAGCATAAATACGTTTTTGAAAAATATCTCGACCCTGGCGCCACCTAATGAGACCATTTTTGGCAAAAAATTTTCTGCTTACATAACCGGTATATATTATAAATAGCAGCCAAAGCGGCCTATAAATAAGTTAATTTTTTTACGCGGTAGACTTTTCGCTGGAAATTCTCATATACATATTTACAACTTTTTTCATTTTGACCCAATGTGTTATTAGGGAAAGCGAAATCTTAACAAGCGTTAAAACAGCGCTATTGTATTAGAGAGCATTTTAGTTGCTTATGTAAACTGGTCTCAATGTTGAGAACCAGTCAAAATGGCACGCAGAGAAAAAATCGTCAATTTCTTCGTCGAAATTGTCAAATCGTTATGACAGTTAAAAATCGTTCAATTGAAGACCAAACCGGCAACCTGGCAACACTGTTGTTAGCAGCAACAAAATGCTGCTGTTTTTATTGATACAGCCAGCGCAATGCAATGCTTCTAACCAAGTCAATCAAAAGAGCTGCGGCCCGCGGCTGAGGCGCTTGCTCTGCTAATATCTGTCGCAGCCATGAGCGCGCTTGCCTGCTGGCGATATCGATATCAATGTTTACTATTAGGCCAAATTTAAGCTCGTTTACTTGTATGTACATATGAATGTATGTATGTATAAACGCCTCTAGATGTGAGTAATGAGTTAATTTGATTTTATTTACGTTAACTTAGTCGATGAATATTCTTGGCCGCTGTTGTGTCTTGTGCCCTCTATTTTTGTGTTTAGTAAGGAGTTTCTCATCTAGATAAGTATGTATTTAAAAGCGTTCGTCTATTGTTTTTCTCAATTCAACTTTGACACAAAGTCTACTCGTGTCCTGCACAATTTCAATGTCTCCTCCTCCGCATTAATTTATTAATTTGACTTGTTCTTAATCTGCTACTGAAATATGCGCGTTTCTCCTGGGTAAGATTGAATTATTTTTGGTGAGTTAAATAACGGTTTTCTCTCATTAATTTTCATTATTATTACAGCCTAATCTTATCGAATAGCAAATTTGATTGATGATTAATTCCTTATGGGTTTTGATCGTAAAACCAATTTTAAAACTTGCTGAAGCTCATACAGCAAACCGAAAGCGAGTAACACCGACGGCATTGCTTTGTTGGCTGAATTGCATCTGAAATTAGGAAATGGGCAAATTAAATATTGGAAAAGGTACACATGCATATGTATGTAGTTCGCATTCTCGCCCTCTCACTCACCTGCTTGAATGTTCCACCCAGGTAATTTGTGAACCAACGCCATAAGCACTGGCTAAATCATTGATCTTGTCAACGAGCGTCGAGTTCAACGGCGCATGTCTGGTTAGTATCTTCATCATGCTGACTTGTGGCGCTAAAGGCGAGTACCCGCATACGAGCGCTACTGTATTATAATCTGTTGCAATCAATTTGAAAATTACAGTAATGCTGACTACGCTGTTTACATATACAATTTCGAATGTGCCATTTCGAGTCTTTTCATCCCAATTAAAGTCGAGAACTTCACTTGTATTCTTCCAACCATTGTTGACGTTATTGAAATAGTTCAGCTGAAGACTGTAGTTGCCATCGACGGGCGTAAGTGGGGCAGTTACTTGTACGCAAGCCGGAACTACCGTCTCTGGCAGTCTCGCTGTTTCATACCAAATGCCAGATATCTGTATATGTCCATATGAGTGTATATATGTATATATATGTACATATATCGATGGTCCTGTGCAATAAAGATACAATTCAAAATTCAAAAAATAAAAACTGTTACTGCTGTTAAGTGGCTCTTGTCTCTAATCCTTATCTAATCCATTTCCATCCCTCACTAAAGTAAGCAGTAAGGAATGTTAAAGTAAGTACTAAAGTTTAGACATGGATTCGACAAAGATTAGAGACATGATGAGCCTTTTAACAGTAGCAAGGGTTTTTATTTTTTGAATTTTGAATTGTGTCGATATTGCATAGCACCATCGATAAGTATATTAACATAAACAGTATTAAAACAAGTCTAACTCACTCGTGTTACATTGAATTCAAAATTGGAAACATTTACGGCGCAGCTCCAGTCGAAACTCGCTGCATCTGCTGTTGTACAAATATTGGCAGCAAGCAGGAGTACCAGTATGCTGGAGAGTACTATAATGCGCGGGGCTATAGCCATGTTTCAAAATCATTTAAATGTCGGAGGCAAGTTTCAGAAGTCAATTTGACGCTGTAGACAGTAGCAGACTAAACGTTGAAATTTCGTTAATAAAATATATTTATCTATATACATATGTACATATGTATGTATGTATGTATTTTAGCACATTAGACCGATAACTGCTTATCTTCTTTGATTGCTATATGGCTGCCGATAACCAATGTTATCATTTATTTCAATTCTCTTATTTATTCTCGCACTCACAGTGGGCAGCTTTCAAAAGAAAAAAATTAAGTGCGCGTTGTATTCAAAAACAAAGAAAAGGCAAAAAGAAAAACCATAAAAAAGTAGCCGCCTGCGATTCGCCAACACTTAGCGAAAGGAGAAACGAAAGAAATTAATGAGGTGCAACCAAACTCACCAATGTCCATCGCTGCAAGCTAACTTTGTATTTTTCGGTACGCTAGCAGGAATGAACTCAAGCGAGCAGAGAATTGGCGAATCCAAGGCGGCTAATATTTTAAGGCCTGGAAACTGGGAAAGTGATGTTATAATAACTGGACATACATTTTCCGTCGATTAAAAACTGGTCAGAAATTTCTGTTTCTTTGAAAATTGTGTAACAGTCTAATGGTTATTTTCATTCTTCAAAAAAGTGTTGCCCTACAACGGTGAAAAATGTGTTTAATGCAACCACCCCTGATAAAGCTCCAAAGGGCAGAGAATGTACCTTTTTTGCCTAACAAGAGTGTGAAATTTTAAGAAACAAACACAATTTTCTCACGAATTCGTAAAAAGGATCTACATATCTGAGTTTAATGAGCAGTGCAGTTTTTATCATAAGTGGGCTGTGCTCGTTCGCGCACTCTGGACAACGTTTGCCAGATGTGGTAACCAACCCCGTGTGGAGCCTTGGGTGACGGCAGAAAGAGAGTGAGCATCGGTGGGGCCACTCTGAGTTATTGGGCTTCTGTTCACAAGGAGGTGCAACTGTAAGCGGATGTCTGTCTTGGAGCAACCGGCTTACTATGTGAATGTGCCCATTGCATTTTTCAAGCCACATAATGTGGTTGTGGCGAGTTTCTGACTACATAACAAAAGAAATCTGCTTTTATAGAAAGTTCCAAGTGGAAATCCCAGATCGCGAAGATTGGGCAAACGGACTTCCAACGTTTGATCCCCGATATGTACGTTGGCATACAGATGGTTTAAGGATGTAAGACAGAACAGGTTTCTGTGGACCCGGTATCAAATTGGGAACTACGTGGGCAGATGGCTCACGGTATTCCAGGTTGAAGTTTGAGCAGTCAGTTCAGCGTACATGCATAATTGGTTAGGTATGTATGTATTTATATGTATGTATGCAGATATTTAAATGCCGGTTTGCTATTCGCGCGACAAGCTTTTTTAAAAACGAAGTAAATTAGTACAAATTGTTAGTAATTTTCATTAGAGTTTGAATAACTCCTTTCACTAAATGGCTTTTAGTAACTTTAACGAGACCTTAACTTATTTTATTTTATTCATTTTAGTGCAGTTTTGACAAAATTTTCTTGCTAAAAAATCTTTTGTTTCACTACTTTATTTTATTCCTTTGATTAAACATGTTAAATAAAAGCTTATTTTTAAAAAAAATTTTTTTTTACATTACTTTATTAGAATACTTAGATTTTCATCCCACATACATATATTAATTCGTTAAATACATATTCATTTTGGCAACTTTTTCACCGAGTTTTGTCAGCTTTTTTTTTGGTAGATTTTCACTAATTGCCAATTAACTTTTTACAATGTTTTGAATTTGTGAAAAGTTTGCCAAATCACTTTGATGTGGTTGTTTACCTTTACCTGTAGTAAATGGACAATAAATTAATTACGGACATTTTTCTGAGCGGTGAGTTAGAAGATTTGCTCTTTGTATTTAGAATTATTTGTCCAATAAATTTTGACTGAAAGCAAATAAAAAAATATCTACGCTCTTTCACAACGATTCTGTAAGGTGGAAAAGTGGCGGCACATTTGTTCGTTGTTGTCAATCGTGCTTACATAAATTTGGGAAAAGTTTGTATTTCAAAATTCGTGTTTTAATTCTGAAGTTTACGGATTGTGCAGATATGTATGTTACTGCTAGACACACCAGAACTAAAAAGTTAAAGAGTATCAATGGATCAATGCGCAATCGTAATACTGGGAAACGGCGAGCCATACATACAGTGACGTACATATGTATGTATGTACTCCAAGTATGGGAGAGCAAGCCCAAATTGAGTTCATCTCCAAAGTGGATAAAATCAGGCAAAATCCTTTGGCGCTTTCGTGTCAACGTTTACAAAGATATGGAGAAAATCTGTTTTCATTTTTGCTAAGAACGCTATAGAAACTGATTGGCCTGCATGTGGAAGATAGAGGCCCTCGTGACCGGGTTTCCAAAGTGGAGTGAATAGAGGAAGCCTGAGCTCATAAAAGCATCAAATCTCCAAATCGCTAGGGGTTGAAATCTATCTTATACAGTTTGCATCTAAGTAGCTCAAAGATGGATTTAGGGAAGCGAGGTGGCTGGAGTAAGAGATCAGTGAACTTTTGCACTGAATGGATCGAAACTTGAGGGTACGATTAGCGGGAGTTCTCCATCAACACTGGATTCAGGCTTCCAGTATTTTTCAGGCAACAGGTCAAAGTGGGTCTCTACGCTTGACAAGACACAGTTCTTGCTCTTGGTGGAGGTTCGGACAGGTCATGGTCCGATTGGTATTCCACGTAGTAAGGCTGGGAATCTTAACTGGTCCGACGTAGAACTACATCAGCACTTTCTATTAGGTTCCCAGCTTTCGCGAGCCCAACATTGAAATAGTTTGGCTCGCATTTCTTAACTACCCAGCGGAGCTCTCGGATATTGAAATCAGCCGCAGTCACAATTGCGTTTCGTTAGCGTTCCTAAATTGACTGGGTATCACAAAGGACCATCTCCTACATGCCCAAATGGATCGCTTATCTGGGACAATTACCGACACCTAACTTAAATATTAATGGGATCTCCATCAACACTCACGAGGCTGTAATAAGAGTAAGGGAATGCAGTCTCTCCAGTTCTTTGATGGATTTGGAAAACATACAGTTACCAGGGGAGTGGAAGCATTGTTAGGAAGAACTTGAAGGGCGTTAAAAGGTTGCCCACAGGGATGTGCTTTCTACTTATTACACGAATTTCTCAGGACATTTTCAGTCAAATCGGTTATCAAACTGTCAACTAGTAGAAATAGTCCCCCAGTTATGCATTCGTACTACCACGCTAGGGAAGTAGACCTCGAAATGTGTTTTGTAGTGAGCACTTTGACTTAAAAAGCTGTGACAGAAAAAAGCATGTAGAGTACACTTACGCCAAAGCTCAGCGAGCTTTGTTACATAGTTCGCAAAGAGGTAAACTAATTACATAAGAGAGGGCTTAGAAACCTATAGCTTTAACAGATTTATACAGCTAGTAATTGTGCCTGAGGCAGTGATGTCGACCGGGGAAGAATTCCCCGATTTTGATGGAATTTGATTTTCTCGGAGGAATCGGGGAATTGCTTCAAATTTTGGGGGAATTCAATATACAAAAGACTTATATTAGAATAAAATTACAATTTCTAATAACAATCTCTTATTACGGTGTATATTAAAGAAATTGCAACCATGCATAGCGACACTTTTCACTTCAAGTTTATATGAGCAAATCCCACGAGTTGTTTTTTTAGTGTCACTCCCTTCTCTCGGTAAAAAAATGCTAAAGCATTCATCTTGCATTTATTTCAATCAATGGCATTCCTGAAACAAGTACAATAAAAAATAGATCAAGAATTTGAAAAATGTTACCCTTAAAACGTTTAATTAGGCGAAAAGGTACCGAAATTACTAATTTTTTCATTGTCGCTCGAAAAAATTATAATTGCCTTTTTTTAATAACTTTGGTAAGTTTGCAAATAGAATTTTCATGTTTCAGGCAATGAACGTTGGCATCAAATACAACATATCTGTGAAGTTTCAAGAGTGAACCACGAAATTAAAAAAAAAAATGGCAGCATGCAGAATATCTGTCGCAGCTATTTTGTAATTTTTGAAATTTACGATTTTATCTTGAATTTTAATAATTTAAGTTACTTCAAAATGTTGAAATTAAACGATGAAAATGTTCTTCTTTCCAAAACGAACGAATATAGTGTAATACGATTAGTGTCTCACCAAATGAAAAATGATTCGAGAAACTAAAAATTCCATTTTTATAATTTTTATTGGTGCACTCGAAATTCAATCTAAAATTGTTACATACATGAAGAAAGAAATATATATGTGCATGAGGAATACTGAGTAAAAATCTTAAAAGCCAATATTGAAGCACTTTTAAATAATATGGCTTTTAAGTTAAGGCGTACGAGTAAACTTGTTAGATGACTACCGATGGTGCTACGGGGCGAATACGTTACATACGCAACTACGGGTATATGAGCATGAGTGGTTATTTTTATTAGTATTCTTTTTAACCGACTTCATAACAAGGCGAAGGTTATCAATTCGTCGGAATACACCGCGCGACAGTCAATTTCACCTAGGGGCGCCGGAGTTTATATAGAGGGAGAAAATGTCTTTAATAAAATTTTTTATTTTTTTGTGCATATAAATAGAAATTTTCGGGAATAAGAAAGTATGTTTCCTGGTATTCTTTTTTAAAAATCGGTTTGCACTTTTTTGTTTGAAATATTATTTTTATAAAAAATGTATTTTTTGCTTTCAAGTGTTTTTTCTCCAATTTTTATATACGAAGTATACAAATATGCAGACCAGAAGAAAGGGGGTTTAATCGCCTTTACAGAGACACCAAATTTTTAAAAATCGCTTAGTAATTTTTTTGTTTATTTTTTTTAATAAAAAAATGTATTTTTTCCTTTTACGTGTTTTTCTCAAATTTTTATATACGAAGTATACAAATACGCATATCAGAAGAAAGAGGGTTTGGTTGCGTTTACAACGATATCAATTTTTTT